AATGGCTGCAATATAACAAAGAGTGAAAAATTTAAGGGGGTCTGAATACTTTCCGTACCCACTGTATATATACATTACCAACCCCAAACTTTTGAACGGTATTGTGTGTATTATGTTTTAAAATACTACTTGTGTGGGCCACTCACCATGTTTTGCATCAAAGATAATAATATCACATACTCTATATTCAAATAAACCTCACTGAGCGATGATTTGCAATCGTTTTGTTTATTTATCCACACGAAGGGGTGATAAAGTTTAGCTGTAACTACTTATGGATGGAAAGCTGATTCATGAAAAGACCCGGACACGAGTGAAATGCACAATCCCGTAATTCCTCCATCGGTATTTTCACCGCATTGTGTGCAGAGCAACTTTAATATGTCTGCTACAGTGTCTGTGCTTCTGTGAAATAAAACTATGTGGTAATGAATCGGGCAAAGGCATCGCATTTCTAACCGCCGTTTTGTTGTGTAATGCTTCAGCGAAACCCGTAAAGATACAGAAACAATGTATGTCATAATACTGATGTGGTAAGAAACTATTTGACGGGACAATCATGATGGGGTAAATCATGCAGGCATTTCCTTCACATGATCATGCAAGAGTCCCTACGAGCTCAATCACCCCACGAGTCTGTTTCCTTTTCCATGCAGTCGGGGAGTTATTACTGATCAACATGCAATATTCATCTGAGGAGGCATTATCATTTTGCCGAGCTCTGTAGCTCTTTGCCCCTTCGTGTTAGACTGGCTGAGAGATAAATTGCCTGGGGGCTGCTCTGGGCCCTGATTGCCTACCGCTGCAACTTGTCAGAGACAGGGGAAGAGGACACTTGGAAGGGAAGAGATAGCTGACACACAGGCTAGTAAGGGTGCCATGCATTTTTCATACCGCTCCCCTAATTGAGGCACCTGCATGAGAAACTCACAGCCGTTTGCTTGCTGCCGGTGTTGCTGTCGTCGTTCAGATTTACAGGGATTCGCCGCTTTTGAAATCCAATCTCTTTTCTTCCCGAGCAGAGGAGGCCTTGATTTACCTCTTTGTGAAGAGCTCAGGTGAACACAGAATGTAAAAGTTGTGGAAATGCCTTGTTTTGGTGCCGAACTTTGCATGTGCAAGGTAACGTTAACCCTTTTCAACTCTCAATTTGGCTTCAAAAATTTCTATAACATTTCTAGGGATGCTTTAAATATTAACAGCCGAGATCACAAGGACCTACTTGCTTGCAAATCTGCATGCAAACTATGTAAAAAAGCATTTCAAAGCTTCTAAAGCTATTCAAGACTCCACCAGCAAAGCAACATTTCGAAATAAACAAGGTGCTCAAAAATCACACTTGCTTTGTGCTGCCTCTGACACGCTTAAGAGAACATCAACATGCTTCTTATCCACGATGAAGCTTGGCTTCTGGGAAACAAGCATCACCAAGAGTTATTTTCAACAGAACACTTGAAACCCAGTGTGATGAATCAACATATTCCATGCTTTAGTATCACTTGGAGGGCAGAGGAATATTGTAGTAACGTTTCTTATGCTGCAATTTCCAGTTTAATGCAACACTGCCACCTAGTTGTAGCTGTCAGAGCTGTGTCCCTTTGTTTTTAGATGGAGATTCATCAGGTTTAGATCTTTTCTGTGTCAATATGTAAATTGTTCCTGAGCAATGTGAGCATTTGTTATGTCTGTGCTTAATTCTATTTTTAAAGAAAGCTAAACACCTCATAAACTACAGTCAAAAAGTCACACGACTTTCCATTTTTCCAATTTAATACATTTTTCCATTACAAATTATACTATCAGCAAAAAAATGTAAGTGAAAATTAGAATTTCAATCATCTGTTCTAGTGTTATTTTAGTATTATTTACTATATTATTATTTAGTATTATTATTTAATATATTATTATATTATTTAGTAACATTCATTATATTATTTATTCATATTTTGAATTAACTGAATTTTGAATTCTTTTATATTTTCAGTTTTTTTTTTTCGTTAAAGTTCGTTAAACTTCCGTTAAAGTTTCAGTAATTTTGTTGTGCTCATCATTTTTATTAGGTTATTTATTTGTTTTTTATATTTGTATTTAGCTTTAATTTATTATTATTTGTATTTTTTAGTAATTGCAGCACTTATTTGCCTATTTTAATTTCAGTTAGTTGCCAATGCAACATTTCTAATTTTTGTTTACATTTTTTTTAAATATTTGAATTCATTTCGGTATGGAAGTCCATTCCCGTCACAGAATAAAATATTAAAAAGGTCATTGCGACTTTTTCATCTTATAATTCTTTTTTTTTCTCACAATTGCGAGTTTATATCTCACAAATCTAAGAAAAAAAAAGTCAGAATTGCGAGATAAAAAGTTGCCATTACCATTTATTTTATTTGTTATTCAGTGGTGGAAATGGCCTTCCATATATCAGCTTTATTTTAACCATGAAAAAAATGTTTAATAGTTTTAGTTTTAGCAAACACAAAAACAAGACTGATCTGTACAAAGGAGTGCACACTAGTGAAATAAAGGAACAACCTGAAGGTGAGTAATTTTTCAGGTGAACTATCCCTTTAAATTAACTTTTGATTCAGATTTTCAACGTGATCTCAGACTTTTGGGCTCACTGTGTGTGTTTATATATCAATGAGCTGTACAGTGCATGAAAACCTGAAAATACCTCAATAAATGTAACTAGAATTATAATCTTTGCCTGTTTTATCATCTTCCAGGTGAAAATCTTACTGCTTAGAAAGGTAATAGCACCACCCCACCATGACTGATTCCACAACTTCTACAACAAATACACCATTTATAACAAGCCACGGCCTGATATTTCTCCTCAAGCAACAACATAAGGCCATGATCCTCTTACTTTACAGGAATAGTTCACTTAAAAATTAAAATCTGCCGTCATTTACTCATCCTCAAGCCTTTTCAGAAAATGTTTGAAGAATATCCTGGTTGTGACTTTCTAAATGTTAAGGGTGAAAGGGTAGTTTTCATTTAAAGATTTTGGCTAATGGTCTGAGAGGTCAAAACATCAAAAACATGCAACTACTTACTGAAGTTGTGAGCGATCTTTGAATTCAACATGATTTCCATAGTACTGATGGACTCTGATGTGCCGATGCGGCCCGTCTCTCTCACTCCGAACAGCTCAAACAAGCGCATGGTGTCAATTTCAATCTTCCTGGGGTTCCTGCGAGACCACATCGACTTCTCCATCTGCAAAGGCAGGGAATCGTCAATACCTCCATTATTTCATATGATATTATTTCATATCAAGACATTGCCTTGAATGCAAGTGATCTTCAGCAGAAACAGATTTAGCGCAACAATTTCACTTATGAAACAGCCATGCTGCGACTGCAATATGCAATGCTGAATTACTCTTTTTAGTGAATTCATAAGCAAACAACATCATCACAAACTCTTAACAAAAATGAGCCCCATGTAGGGGCTTTCTTTCACCAAACATAAAAATGGTCATTCTGCATTTTAAATCAAATGTTTGTGTCAAACAGGGTTATTGTAGTAAACTATAACTAAAACTAGAAACTAAAATTACAACCATAAAAAACAAACATTTTCATGAAATAAAATAAAATGTACTTTTTTACTTAAGCTAGTGTCCATTGTAATAATATTTCACAATATTACTGTTTTACTGTATTTTTGATCAAATAAATGTAGCCTTGGTGGGCATAAGAGACTTCTTCAAATACATGCTCATAATTCATAATCTTAAATAATTAACCAACAATTAATTTAGCAATTTTGATATTGTACAAATGCATTTATACTAAAATGGCTTAAATGGTATTTTGATTGCCCACGGTTATTATAGTTAAAACTAAAGCTAACACTATTATTATAAATTAAACGTAGACTGAACTAAAATATATAAAAAACTTAAATCTACATATTTTATTTCAGCTAGTTTCCGAAGCAACATTTCTCATTTTTATTTAATTAACTGGATAGAAAATATATATTAATTAAAATTTAATATTATATATATATATATATATATATATGTGTAATTTTTTAATTTATATATAAATTATATATAAACAGTTATCAAATAATTTCTTAAAACATTCATTATAAAATGTATTTATATAATAATTAATTAATTCATTATTTCAATTGTGCATTTATATATATGTATATATATATATATATATATAAACCGAAAAAGACCATGCAACATCATTACTAAAATGTTACTAAATAATAAACTATTCATAATATTCATAAATTCAAACTATTCATAAAAACTATAATAGTATCTCATATACACTAAAACAACACTGTCTGAAAGAAAAATTAATAAAAAATTATATAGACATATTTAAAAAAAATAATAATAAAAATGAAAAAAAAAATTACTTTAAGGTTACCTCAAATTAAACTGGAAATATAAAAATAAAAAATAATTCAAAATATTCCTAATAACTATAATGGTATCTAAATGACACTAGTCTGACCAAAAATCTGCCACATCTGGAGCCCTTTCAAATCTAAAACAGAACGCATAAGCTGATACCTTATCCTGAGCCACCAGGTCCCAGTGAAAAGCTTTTGTCCTCTCTGAAAGCTGTTTGGATTTCATGGGCAGCGGAGGGGGCAAAGGGGCAGGTGGGACAGGACCTCGCACTGCTGATGGCACAGGCAATGGCGGGGGCAAAACAAACGGAGCCGGTGATGAGCACGTGGCCGCTGGTGAGAGCGTCCGGTCAGGCTTGTGCACAGCTCTGCTCTGTGCAGTGACAGTTGGCTTCGGTTCTGCTTCTGATGCTTCCAGGGAAGCAGTTTCTGGTTCTGGTGCTGCTGGAAAAGCTGCAGGAACATTCGGGGATGTTCTGGGCAAGCGTGGTCTCAGTGAAGGTGGCACTGGTGGAGGTGTGAGCGGCATGTGGCTGTTCTGTGTCTTACTTTCTGACTCTGTAATATCAGTGAGATCTTTTTCAGGGGCTTCATAGAAATGTTCAAGTTGTGACTTTTGCTTCCAGTCCACACATAGCTGTTTGATCGCATTCACCCAGGCATCTCGCTCATTTGTTATGGCCTCTGGGGTCACACTTTTTGGTATTCGGAACCTGACAAAGACAAAAAAAAAAAGAATGTTGTTGAGAAAATTTTGATCTCACAATCATTTACTTCTGACTGATTTTTATTGAGAGGTCAAGATCAGTCACTGAAAGCACACTCGACTCACACAAAGTCATTCTTGTCGTTGTGCAGCGTGAAGGTGTCTGTGTTGCAGGGGATCTCCACCCTGACATTACCGTCTGAAAGATGGATGACAAGAGCTGTCCCGTCACCCCCAGCACACCTGACATCATCCAAACTGGCGTAAATCTCTGAGAGACTCCAGACAGACTCGTTAGAGGAAACAGACGCGCCTGCATCACCGCCGGCAGACTGCTGAGCGACTGGGAACAAGGTCAGCTGACCAGTCTGAAGATGAGCCTCGTATCTAAGAGTGAAGAATAAGAGTGAATGGACCTTAAAGTAAAGTAAGAACAGTAATATTGTGAAATGTTATTTCAATTTAAGTTAACTGCTTTCTATTTCAATATATTGTAAAATGTAATTTATTTCTGTGATCAAAGCTGAATTTTCAGCATCATTACTCCAGTTTTCAGTGTCACATGATCCTTCAGAAATCATTCTAATATGCTGATCTGCTGCTCAAGAAATATTTCTTTTGATTATTATCAATGTTGAAAACAGTTGTGAAATGTTTCAAAAAATAAATTGGTCAAGATGCATATTTAGGCTTTACATAAGATCGATAGTGGATAGAGCACTGCCAAACCATAAATACTGTCATTAATTATATATATATATATATATATATATATATATATACACACACAGTGCCTTGCGAAAATATTCATACCCCTTCGTTTTTTTCACATTTTGTTAAGTTGCTGCCTTATGCTAAACTGCTTTTAATAACTTTTTACCCACATCAATCTACACTCCATACACCATAATGGTAAAGCAAAAAACAGGTTTTTACATCTTTGCAAATGTATTGATTATTGATTAAATGATTCCATTGCATCTGGGACAGTTCAAATTTAGCTCAGGAGCATTCAAATTGCTTGTAGATGTTACTACACTTTGAGTGAAGTTAACCTGTGGCAAATTCAATTGAATGGGTATGATTTGGAAAGGCACACATCTTAATAAATGGTCTAACAGCTGATAATGCATATCAGAGCAAAAACCAAGCCCTGAGGTCAAAAGAACTGCCTGTAGAGCTCAGAAACAGGTTTGCGTCAAGCCACACATCTGGGGAAGATTTCAGAAAAAAATTCTGCTTCATTGAAGTCTCTGTTACCCTTAATGGAAGAAGTTAAAACAACCGGGACTCTTCCTAGAGCTGACCTCCTGGCCAAACTGAGCAATTGATGGAAAAGGGTCTTGGTTAGAGTGGTGACCAAACTCCACCGATATGGGCTTTATGTCGGAGTGGCCAGACTCAATCTTCTCCTCAGTGAAGATACATGAAAACACACTTGGATTTTGCATTAAAAACACCTAAAGAACTCTCAGATTCTGAGAAACAAGATTCTCTGGTCAAGTCAAGTCAAGTCACCTTTATTTATATAGCGCTTTTAACAATACAGATTGTGTCAAAGCAACTGAACAGCATTAATTAGGAAAATAGTGTGTCGATAATGCAAAATGACAATAGTAAACACTCATTTTTCAGTTAAACTCAGACTGGGCAGAAGGTTTACCTTCCAACAGGAAAATGACCCTAAGCACACAGCAAGAGAGGCTTATAGACAACTCTGTGAATGTGCTTGAGTGGCCCAGCCAGAGCCTGGGCTTGAACCCAATCAGATATTTCTGGAGAAACCTGAAAATGTGCATTTGCTCCCAACCAACCTGACAGAGCTTGAGAGGTGAAGAGGTGAGGAGAAGAATGGCTGATAATTGCCAAATGATGATGATCAAAGCTTGTTGCATTAAACAAAAAAGACTCGAGACTGTAAAGGTGCTTCAGCTAAATATTTAGTTAAGGGTATGAATACTTATGCAATGTACTTATTTCAGTATTTTTTTATTTTTAATACATTTACGAAGTTGTGACAATTCTGTTTTTGCTTTGTCAGTATGGTGTATGGAGTGTAGATTGATGTGGAAAAAAAGTCATTTAAAGCAGTTTAACATAAGAAAGCAACATAACAAAATGTGAAAAAATGAATGGGGTATGAATACTTTCACAAGGCACTGACCTAACATGGCCTAAAGATAATTTGAAAGATAAGATGTTTGTGACTTATGTTCCAGTCTAACTAGTATAACAACTGCTAAGCACTTGTTTACAAGAACCAGACAAAACAAAGTCAAAAAAATGTCATACTTCTTCCATTTGAATGATGCCAGTCCTCCTCTCTGCAGGAAAATGTGACCCTCTTTGAGGTTGTCTGGAGCTGGAGGCAAGGGTGAAGATTCCATTTCCACAGATCCATTCACAAGAGGGCTGTATATGTTACTGTAGATGATCTGATTTACCAGCTGCATGATCTGAAGGTGAGATAGTCATCAGAAACCCAGTTTGATTAAATCAATAATTACGCATTATCATCAAATGAGCATGCAAACTCAAAATAATAATGATTTAGAAAGGACAGCAGAAAGAAATATTTTTGCTAAAATGTACTCACCCTCAGGCCATCCAGGATATAGATGTGTTTGTTTCTTCATGGGAACAGATTTGGAGAAATATAGCATTACATCACTTGCTCACCAGTGGATCCTCTGCAGTGAATGGGTGCCGTCAGAATGAGAGTCCAATACAGTCCATTATATTGCTTTCTCCAGTGGAAAAGTCCAAAGACCTACCAACAACTTTGTTCAGATCGGTTTTAGACTGCTTTGGCTTATAAACGGTGCTTGATCTGTGCGCTTGATCTGTGCATATTTCTCTCCTGATTCAGACAAGATGACTTTTTCACTGGAGAAAGTAATATTATGAATAGAGGACTTTTTGCTGGAAGCAATGGTTTGAAGTAGGAAAAAAGTTTTAATAAAGGATTTGTTTCAACACACAGCTTTTCACTTCACAAGATTTTATGGACTGGAGTGGTGTGGATCACTTGTGGATTATTGTGATGTTTTTATCAGCTGTTTGGACTCTCATTCTGACGGCACCCATTCACTGCAGAGGATCCATTGCTGAGCAAGAATTTCTCCAAATCCAGTGAAGAAACAAACTCATCTATACCTTGGATGGCCTGAGGGTGAGTAAATTTGCATTTTTGGGTGAACTATTCCTTTAATGATCTGGAACAGAATTAAAATTCAATCCACGTTGCATGTGATGTCCTCACCTGCTGCTTGTCCTCTAAGGACGCAGCTTCCAGCTCATAGTCAGACCGATCTCTAAACGAAATGGAGAACCTGGTACCCGGAGCATCATGGCAGTTTTTCACCTCAGAAAAACAGAGCTGCCGTTTCACAATGCCTTTCTCAATGCTGCACAAAAGGCTTGTGCTGAAATCAATCTGAAGCAAAAAAAAAAAGTATGCACTTGTTACACGTGGTTTCTAGAGATCAGAGATGTATTCGAGCAGCTCAGCGTGTCGATACACACCTGCAGCACCCGTTTCTGCCATATATAGCGGTTGAACTTGCGGACACTGAAGTTGTACTGTGACTGTTTTTCCTGCAACAGAGATATCTTTGATAATGTTAAACAAAGAATTCAAGAAATAACTCAACTTTACAAAACTCAACTAGGACTGATTACAATCACTATAGAGAGCAGCTCATAATATTAGGGCTTGTCCTATGAGGACTGGTTGAACAACAAATCATTTCCTTAAAAAGAACTGTCAAAACATACTAGCCACTTCAAAGTTCTTAAGAAAAATATGTGCTCTGAATGACTTACACACACATTTTGCTGACCTATTTTCTGATTTTAAAAAAGTTAATAAATAAAACTCAAAAGAAAAACATTTTTAAAATGTTGATAAGATCTTTAAATCTTCATTTAACATGAAGGTCAGGAGTTGTAAACATATCCCATACTGCACCTCTGGCTCAAAGTTCCTCTGCTTGTGTAACATGCCATTGTTAGCCCGAATCAGAGCTTCATCGATACTCATTTTGCCTGATTTCACCCAGTTCATAACATTCAGCTGCATTTCGTTGCTAAGCTGTAGAAACAATACGAGTTTAAGTCGAGAACTGTGATTATCCTTAAGACAAGCACATGCAGTCTCCATGCAACACTATTTGGCAACAATAACCTCACTCACAACAAACAGTTGAAATGAGGAAGTTTACATTTTTTTCATGCTAGTTCATCTCAGAATTATTTGTGGACACCAGTTGACATGTGACGTGTTTCTTGTAAATTTGAACTTTTTATTACATTTTATAGAGATGGATAAACCATTGTTTTTTCTTTTGTTTAATGTCATCAGCTGTCAATAATTGTGGGAGATCAAATGCACAAATGTGTTCATGAAAGCGAGAACACAACTTAAATTAAATTAAATATTTTTTTTTTTTTAAATTACAATTTAAAATTTACAAATTTAAAAATTTAAACATTTAAAAATTTAAATTAAAATTAAATGTATGCATTTAGCAGACGGTTTTATCCAAAGCAAATTACAGTGCATTCAGGCTATACATTTTTTTTTTTTTTATCAGTTTAATTTACAGCATGTAAAATGTGTTTTTGAGGTTTGATGCCCATTTTATTTGAATAAACAGTTGAATGATTATCTGTTCTATTTCAGCAATCGTAGTTAGAGACTTTTTTCACTGAATACTTGCTTATTCAGTGAAAAAAAAAAAAGCTATTATTAAAAAAGAAAAAATAAGTCCTTACCTGGGGAACATGCACTGTCTTTCTGTAATCCATGTTTCTTCATTAGACTTCAGGAGATCAAAACATAGGCTGTCAGATCACCCATCAAGTGTTGTCAAATAGTAAACTGACTTAGACTGAGGTTTGCAGACATCTGAAAAGGGATGTGTTTATGTGAGAGAGAACTAGGTATGTTTGTATGGCATGCAGATTTATTACTAGGTAACTTCCTTAAATGCGGCTTACCTGAAGGAAAAAATAGAAAAAGATGAAGTCATGCACCTCCACCCTTTATCTGACTTCTCATCTTTCTGTGGGACATGCAATGTCCGTCCCTCAGTTACAGAGTCATTTACAACATACTCTATGGCTTAACTATTATGTTTTCTCTGCTGTTGTCTCCATATATTGTTGGTTGTACTCTCAAATTTGACGAGTAATATAAAACATGGATACAGAGGTGTAAAGTATTGGAGTAAATGTAATTAGTTACTGTACTTGAGTATCTTTTTGGATACTTTGTAGTTGTACTGAGTATCAAAGATATTAGCAACTTTTACTCTCTACTTCACTACATTTTTGAATGAGTATCTCTACTCTTTACTCCACTACATTTGAAATGAGTGTTGCAGTTACACATTACATTTTGCATGGAGCTAGTTTTTTTCTGCAGCAGTTTATTTCTGCTACAAAAGACATGATACTGCCTATTACAGGTCACTGAAAGTACTGCATCTTGTGCGTTTTGCCCTTACTCACCCAAACTTTTCAACAAGGCTACTTTATGTGAATGTGAGTTCCTTAGCAAGTATTTGTGAATCAGAGGTGTTTTATATATGAGATGAGGACATGACTGCAGCCGGCAATGAGGCCCAAACCAGCACATCCAGTGCAAGAAGGCTTCAGATTTTTTATTTTATTTAACATTATTTTATTTATCCATTATACTGAAGAGACCCTTTTGAAGGATATTGTTTTTTTTGTTTGTTTTGTCATTTTGAGGTGTTCAGTTTTATTTTGGTTTTATAAAATAAACGTGATTGCTCTCCTCACAATAAACTCTTTCTTGTTTTTGTTACATGTTCTCTGTGCCTTGCCCTGGACTTTTATGTCACTTCCTGTCTCCCGTGGTGTTTGTAGTCAGTTTGTACTTGATTAGTCTCCCCAGGTGTGTCTTATCTTGTTAAGCTTGTAAGCCCCCTGTGTGTGTATATATAGCCCTAGTTTTTCTTTAGTTCCTTGTGAGTTGTTGAATGTAATGGT